ACAGAGTGCCCACTCACTCTGAGCCTACAGGATGCTCATGGCATCCGTGCCTTGCTATATTTTTGCATATTGCCCACTCAGCCAGAGATACCAGGCTCACATTCTGCTGTATTACTGTGCAGTTTAGCACAGACACAAAGCCAGGAAGCTTGTCATGGGTGACAGAAAGTCTCAGTCAAGTTGAGGAGATAGCCTTCGCTCGGGGGGTCCCACACAGTAACTCCAGGGCAGCCTCCAATACCAGTCCAGGGGCTTGGACACGGTCAGTCAGCCACTCGGGAAGGTCTGAGCCAGGATCCTCTCCACAAAGGCAGCTCACAATCCATCCTGACTCTTTCTGCCCCGGTGGGCGGTGTTTTCCTACTGGAATGAGAGAGTGGTGGGTATTAAGGGATCTGGAAGTGGGTGGCACAGCTGTTAGTGCAGAGCAAGGTGGGGAGGTGTCCCGAGTGAGTGAGTGGGCAGTTCAGAGGGCAGGTAGGCTGAGTAGTGTCGGGTGTTGAGGGAGAATGTTGCAGGTGACAGTGAGAGTGGTAGAGAATGAGCCTTGGTGCAGTATCAAGGTGAGTGAGGGTGAGGTATCGGGGAGAAGGTGCTGTCACGTAGCCTGGCCGACAGGAAAAGGACATTGACCTTGTTCCTACATTGCTGGCAGTTTGTCCAGATGGTAGAGTCTGCACTGGCCTGGGCAGCAACCTTGGACTGGGCTGGTCAAGGTCTGGTTTTGTGGTCTCCACTTCCTGGTCCTAGAGGAAAGGAAAGTCCTGCCCCTAATAGCATCCCATCCAACAGACCTCCAGGTCCCTGTCCATACAATGAAATGCCAATTCCCCCCTTATGCTGTCTGTAGGTCAAATGTCAGGGCAGGTCAGAACTGACAGTGCTTGTCCTGTTCCAAATCGGGCTTTCACTGTAGTGCAGGAGCAAGGGACATTGGTCAGGGTTGGAGGGTTTGAGCTATAGGGACAGGCTGAATAGGTTGGGTCTGTTTTCCCTGGAGAGTCGGAGGCTGAGGGTTGAGCTTATAGAGGTTTATAAAATCATGAAGGGGCATGGATAGGGTAAATAGCCAAAGTCTTTTTCCCAGGGTTGAGGAGTCCAAAACTGGAGAGGCAGTGTTTAAGGTGAGAGGGGAGAAAGACACCTAAGGGGCAACTCTTTCACGCAGAGGGTGGTGTGTGTATGGAATGAGCTGCCAGAGGAAGTGGTGGAGGCTGGTACAATTACAACATTTAAAAGGCAGAAGTTGCTGGAAAAGCTCAGCAGGTCTGTCAGCATCTGTGAAGAAAAAATCAGAGTTAACGTTTCGGGTCCGGTGACCCTTCCTCAGAACTGTTCATTACTCAGAACCAGACCTGAAATGTTAACTCTGATTTTTTTCTTCGCGGATGCTGCCAGACCGGCTGAGCTTTTCCAGAAACTTCTGTTTTTGTTCCTGATTTACAGCATCTGCAGTTCTTTCGGTTTACGTTTAAAAGGCATCTGGAAGGGTACGTGAATAGGAAGGGTTTAGAGGGATATGGGCCAAATGCTGGCGAATGGGACTAGATTAATTTAGGATACCTGCTTGGCATGGACGAGTTGGACCAAAGGGTCTGTTTCCTTGCTGTACAGCTCTATGACTCTGTGGCTTTATTTTGGCAGGTAGCCCTTGAGTACAAGATTTTTCAGGAACAATGCGTGGTAAAATGGAAATAAAATCAGTCATGAGGAACACTGTACAGGCAGGGTGGGTAGTTAATGAGGAGAATTTGGTCAGAAACAGTGCGAAAATTCACCAGGATTCATGGTAATAAACCCTCCAAAAAATTCCATGTAATTCAGACTTAACCACAAAAAAAAATTCAGCTGCAAAAGTCAAGATGACAAGCTCAGAAGTTATTTTCCTCACAATCCTTTTGGATTTTACAATGGTGACACACTGTTCTCAGTTGCGTGACAGTCATTCTTCAATTTGATGGTTAGTTAGATGAACGTACATCTTGTTTTGTATGAATTCTTTCACTTTTTCTGTCTTTTTCCTCACACTGAGAGACAGAAAGAGATCATTAGACACTGGAGCAAAAGTAAACCATTCAGCCCATCAAGTCTGCTCCACCATTCTAAAAGGCCAACAAGGCTGATCTGATTGTCCTCAACTCCACGGTCTTGCCTTTTCCCTCATTAAAAACAGTCTGTCTCAGCCTTCAATATTCTTAATGACCCAACTTCGACAGCCCTCTGTGATAAAGAATTGCATCGATTCACTAGCCTCTAATAGAAGAAATTCGTCTTGATCTCCATCTTAAATGTATGACTCCTCATTTTAAGATTGTGTCCTCTGGACTTAGACTCTCTTATAATGGGAAACAACCTTTCCACACCAACTCTGTCAAATCCCCTCAGAATATTGTATGTTTCAATAAGGTCACCTCTCATGCTTCTAAACTCCAATGAGTACAGGCCCAGTGTACCCAACCTCTCCTCATAAGACAGTCCCTCCATACCTGTATCAGCCTTGTGAATATTCCATTTGCCTTCCCTATTACCAGCTGCACATGGTTGCTAGCTTTTTGTGATTCATGGACAAGGACTCCCAAATCCCTTTGTTCCATATGTTTCTGCAGTCTTTCTCCTTTTAAATCATATTCACCTTCTCTATTTTTCCTGCCAAATGTATAACCTCACATTTCCACATATTATCCACTCGCTTAAACTGTCTAAACTCTTTGTGTCTTTCTCACTCCCAGCCTTCCCACCTAGGATAGGCCCAGCAGCGCAAACCTGAGTAGGCCCAGCAGCACAGACTCGGGTAGGCCCAGCAGCAGAGACCTGAGTAGGCCCAACTTACGGACTCAGGTGGCCAATCAGAGCAGATCTGAGTAGGCTCAGCAGCGCAGACTCGGATAGGCCCAGCAGTGCGGACTCAGGTAGGTCCAGCAGCACAGCCTTGGGCAGGTCCAGCAGTGCAGACCTGACTAGGCCCAGCAGCACAAACTCGAGCAACAACGTTGGAGGGGAGTTTGGGCTCCCGGCAGCTTCTGCACTGTCGAGGTGGTCCTAGCACTGATCAAGGCTGCAGCAGCAGAGGCTGGTTTGCTTTCCCGGAGGTATCTGCTTCCAGCGCAGATTCAAGGAGAAGGTGGCAGAGGCGGCTTTGGGCCCAGTATGAGATGCAGTGACATTAGCATAGGCTGTATCGGTGAGGTAGACCCGAAGGAAACTCGTGGCAGCAATGGAATCAAGTTTGGGCCAGTGTGGTACTGGGCGGGATCATTGGCATCTGCATTGGCGAAGACCAGCAAGAACTTATAGTGGTGATGGTGTTGGTGGAGGTGAAGAGCAGTGACTTTCATTCCATTAATGGCAGTGAAGGGATCTCATACCTGGCCACCAGGACCTTGGTCCATGGCAGAACAATTAACAAGAAGAACTGTAACGTTGGACAGTTTTTCTTTATTTCTTCATTTTTCTGCCTTTATATTCTATATTTTCATTTATTTTTCTGTTTTAAGATGGTTCCAGTGAGTGGCGACACCATACAACGCTTTTCACTGTATTTTGTAACAAGATACATGCGACAACAAATCAATCAAATCAAATTACTGATCCGGTCATGTTGAAAGACTCCAGTTTATTTCTTATGCTGATGCAGCAAATCCTTGCCTTGTCTCAGATTTGGATTCGGTCAGAGTAGCTGCTGATTTAAAAAGCTGCACTTATTCAGGTCAAGAATAATTCAGGCTAAGTTCTCAGCTCCTCTGATGCTGCCTGGCCTGTTGTGTTCCTCCAGCTCCACACTGCACATCTTTGGTCTTCCTCCTCCTCATTTTTCTTATGTTCCAATGCAAATAAAGGAATCAGACAGGGAAATTGTGAGTTTTTTCAAATTAATTCCTGGGATGTGGGTGTTGCTGGCTGGGCCAGCATTTATTGCCCATCCCTAGTTGTCCATGAGAAGGTGGTGGTGAGCTACCTTCTTGAACTGCTGCAGCCCTTGGTGTGTAAGTACTCTGACAATGTTGTTAGGAAGGGAGTTCTGGGATTTTGACCCAGGGACACTGAAGAAATGGCGATATATTTCCAAGTCAGGATGGTGAGTGGCTTGAAGGGGAATTTACAGGAGGTGGTGTTCCCATATATCTGCTACTCTTGACCTTCTAGATGGAAGTGGTTGTGGGTTTGGAAGGTGCTGTCTGAGGATCTCTGGTGAATATCTGAATGTATGTTGCAGATGGTATACAGCTTAAAGAATAATTAAGTTTGAAATGTGTCAGCTTATGAACAAAATCTTTTCCTCATGACAGGGTGGAGTGGACGTAGAAGTGAGAGCAGAAGGGTCTAGGCCCAAAACGTCAGCCTTTTTGCTCCTGTGATGCTGCTTGGCCTGCTGTGTTCATCCAGCTCTGCACCTTGTTGTCTCGGATTCTCCAGCATCTGCAGTTCCTACTATCTCTGAGCTTTTCCAGCAACTTTGTTTTTGTTCCTGATTTGCGGCATCCGTAGTTCGTTTGGTTTTTATTTAGTCTTTGTGGTAATGTTGAGTGGAATAAAGTACATCGTGTTCACTCTTCAGGACTGTTTGTGTCAGACCACGAGGTGATTGCAAGACACAATCATGTGAGCCCCTGGATGGAGCCACACACCAACATCTTGTGGGGAATGGGTGACAGAAGGCCTCTTGACCAGCTCAACACACTAACACAATTGACCACCCCATGCCAACTGGATGGTCAGTCAAGAGTGTCCATGCACTCCCATGTCTAATCTTATTAAGAACTAGTCAACCTAAAGGGATCTGAATGTTTTTGAAGATGTTTATTGTCAGGAGATGTTTGAGTGTGTTGAAGATGAATCTTTAATCCTTTAGGGACTTTGGCGGGGGAAGGGTAATTACAGCAGGAGCAAGGTAATGCCTCATCAATACATCAGATATTTTATATTAAACACAGTAACTCCAAGGGACAGAAAATACTGAATGAAAGCACTTTTCTCCATCACACATTCCGCCATCGATTACTCAGCCTCCATCGATCGCTCCTCCCTCTCTGACATCCATTGCTCGCGGCTGGAGCGCGGCGCCAGTATCCCAGAATGCAGCGGGGCGGTTGAAGATGGCGGATCTTCACCGGGATGATCCCGAGCTGGAGCCGGATCCGGGATGTGTCCCAGGGCTCCACCCCGAGGTGAGAGTGCCATCAGCGCCCGCTGACCCCGAGCCCCGGCCCAACACCACCCGGAGCTCCCGGGAGGGGGCGGCGGGACTGCGGCCTGGCTCTGAAGCCCCACATCCCATTCTTCAACCCTAATCACCCCCTCCCCTTTCCACCCCCACCTTTCCTCCAAATTCCATTCCCACCTTTCCACCCCCCCATTCCCACCTTCCCACCCCCCCATTCCCACCTTCCCCCCACCACATCC